TTGAATCAATATCAAATTACTAAATGTCCAATTACTACTGAAAAAAAGAAAAATTATGGTAGATTGGTCAAACGGTTAAAACACAAGCTTCGTTCAACTAGTATAGTTGTTCAAAAAACAGAAAAATGTAAAGTTTTTCGTTTAGGTAAATTACAAGATTATTACAAAAAATCTGATGAATATATGGAAAAAACTGAAGCATGTAAATTTTTACACCAGAATGATCCATGACCAAGTTTAATTGACCGGATAGATAAATATTTATTAAATGTAAGATTAACTAATTGGATTACACAAAACAATATGAACAATTAGGCATTAAATCAAATGAAGTGGAATTAGCTCATCTTTATTATCTACCAAAAGCTCATAAACTTGGCACATCACTTCGTCCAATTATATCGGGTCTCAAACATCCAACTATAAAATATATCAAAATTTCTTGACGAATTACTTCGACCATTATTTGATAAAATAGCATCAAACACAACTGTTACTTCTGGAACTGAAGTTATTAACAATTACATGAATGATCAAAACGAAACATAGGTCAAGAAACCTTAATATGTACAATGGATGTTATGGATCTTTATACAATGATACTCCAAACAGAATGTATAATGTCAATTAAAAAACTATTAGATTATTTTAAAATAAAAAAAATTGGTAATATAAAAGCTGAAACAATAATTAGATTATGTCAATTCGTAATACAAAATAATTATTTTTCTTACAATGGTAAATTTTTTCATCAAGTACGTGGTGGTGCTATAGGTTCTCCATGAACATTAACAATTGCTAATTGTTATATGTTCTTTTATGAACGAGATATTTTTAAACAAGTGAACAATAGCAATGGACTCTACTTACGATATATTGATGATATTTTCATGCATAATTATTAATTGACCGATTCATCACCTTTATAAACAAATTAATCGATAGAATGAATTAGACTTGAATATAAAATTAAAAGCTCAAGTTGGTCATTCAACAAATTTTCTTGACTTATACATAGAAAATAACAATGGTGATTTATTTACAAAAGTTTATCACAAACCATCGTATGAACCATATTATTTACCATTTAATAGTATTCATTCAATACATATGAAAATGAATATTCCATATGCTATGTTAATTCGTGCGATTAAATATTGTTCAACATTTGAAACATATTTAAATGAACGTGAAAAATTAAGAATGACTTTATTATTAAATAAATATCCTGGTGAATTTATAGAGAAACAATTCAGCAGAGTATTTCAAATACATATTTTGATGCGGCCATTATCGACAAGCAATTATAAAACATTACGAGAGAAATTAATTGATTTAGATAAAAAAGAAAAAAATTCCAATTGATTTTGACAAAATAATGTTCATTCATTTTACGTACTGTTTAAATATGAAAACATTTCCGGCTAAATTCTATGCACTTTGGAACAAATACATTGTAGTCTCTAATAAATGAAATAAAACAGGTCTTAGATACTCGTAATGTCAAGAATTTACAACAACAACTAATACATAATAAATAATATTCATTCAATCTGATTATGTTAAAAATTATAATTAAAATTTCTGGTTATAAAAATTAGAATGATTGGTTATATAAAAATAAAAATGCCTGGTTATATGTTATTATGAAAATCTGGTTATATATAAGATTAAAAT